CACTGACTCGACGACACAGCAGCGCCATCATAATCATTTTTTCGACGGGAGCCGGGCAGCCGGCCGGGATTAGAAAACTTGGGTAGCGGCTTTACAACAAAACAGGTCCCCCGCTCCCACCCCACCCACACCACAAACAACATACGATGTATACCGATGAAAACGAGTACGTCGTCGCGCCGCTGTCGTGAGTTCTATAGAAATCAGCGACAAGAACAGAAGCCGTCGGTCGGGACACCCGTTGATCGTCGATCCCTCCCCTCCCCCTCCTGAAAAATACACCGTTTTCACTTGACGGAGTACAAGACGATATAATTCGATGTTAAATGAAATGAGAGTTATTGTCAGGCCGAACGACAGGACAGGGCCAGTTTCCTGTTTTGCGTCGGCAACAAAGGGAGACGACAACACCAGAGTCAACCGCGGCACATCACATCGACCATCTAACCAATAACACCATAATCTGGGCAGTGAACACAGCTCACCTCTAACAAGACGACACGCACGCAGAGACGGACTTCAGAGAAACTCGGACACTTCTGAGAAACTCGAAATCGCGAAGAAAACGGCACACAATCAGCACAACAACAGGTTAGACGCTCTGGACAACGCTACACCACTCAACTTGCAACGCGACGCGACGCGACCGGCTGGCGAGCGGCGACTGAGGAGCGAGCGACGACCGTGCTGCGCCCTGGCGGCAGAGTGCGGAAGCAGCGGCAACTTGAGCAAGGTTTCCTACGAGATTGCGGGCGGGTCCATTGTACATCTCGTTAATGTGAGCATCATCGGTGAAACTCAAATCTCTGTAATCTCAGGATAGCTTCGAGACAAAGAGTGACGCCAGCCCATGGAATATGAGCTCATAGAAGAGACACGAAAAGATACACGGATAGATGAAAGGGAATGCCCACGCACTCTCCGAGATACCAACTTTCCCATACCACTTACGGGGGAGATTGGGAGGGTCATGACGTCATAGATTTACGCGCTCGCCGCTCACGAAGATCGCCCTGAGATCGCCCAACCACCCAACCGCAACCGCCGAAGCTGAAGCCCAAGCACTTAGGTGACGCACATTTTGTTATTTAAAAACATTTTCTTCGACTTTGTCATCTTGATTTGCAAACGAATTTTGAATTATTTGTCATTGAAAGAAAGTCCGTTAGTGCAGTGACAGGTTAGATTGAGTGAAAAATATGACAGCAAACCAACAAAATTGTTTTGAGTAATTTTTCTAATATGTTTAAAGAGCTTGTCCCTACTTCTGTTTTGTCTGTCCTCTTTTTCAGGTGTCCTTTGTTCCATAATGCCTGTGCGCTATTGCTTGTGTCGAAAGGCCAGAGTCCTTTGGGTAAGTGACTATAAATATTTAATTCACGTTAAAACTTGTTATGTATGTGTGCTACCGTAAAGGTTATACCACAGCCATTGCATGATCCAAAGTGTTGAAGGATAGGCGCTGTGCATGTTTGTACAGACCGGTTTTGGGCATTTACATTAAGAAACTGTTGCCTTTGAATATTAATGTTCAAAACTATCAAAATTTGTTCTCATATCCTCTTGCCTCATGTCGACAAATATATTTACTGCCAGCCAATATCGTAGTAAGGAGTAGGTATTGGGTTTGGTTCAATAATAAGGCCGTAGTCCCTTACTCCACCCTTTCTTCAGTCCTTCAGTAGTGCTCTGCTTACAATTATTTCATTAAAAACATTGCACAGAATCGTTTCGTACATGTAATTAACATATGTTTCTTTTGACAGAGTAACAGCCATAGACTTCCTCATGGCATGGTGGAGGCTCATGCAGAGCATTGCCGCTCTAGTAGTTGACGTTAAGTACACATCTATTTCCTGAAGTCTCACATTAGTGCCACATTTACTGATGCTTTAAGTTTGCTCTGGCATAGTCATCATGCTCATTGGGTTTTTAATCCTAATGCTAGCAATATTTGACATAGACTTCCTCATGGCATGGTGGAGGCTCATGCAGAGCATTGCTGCTCTAGTAGTTGACGGTAAGCACACATCTATTTCCTGAAGTCTTACATTAGTTCCACAGTTACTGATGCTCTAAGTTACCTTTGTCATTAAAATGAGCTCTTTCTTTTTGTTACAGTGATTCAAATTTGGGAATAGCTGTGACCAGAATGTAGTTTAGTACAAGAAAGAATGGGAACTGCTTCTCCTTATTGCCATTGCAAATATGCCTCAACATAATCACCACTGCCGTTATTGTATCCATTGAATTAATTGAGTCCATAGGGTAAGGACGCGGGGAAAAAAGAGACAGCACTTTTCTCGTAATCGACAAACGTAATGAAAATGTTCTTGGTCAAAATATGTGCTTAAATTTGAGTCAAACGCAGGCGTCGACATGAAATTTTCGAATTGTTGCAGCTTCTACTTAATATTTTTGCGAACTTGATATCCCCTTTTTACACAATAAAGCAATGTAACCATTCAGTGATTTCACTTAAATTGAGTGACAGTTGTTATTTTTCTTTCCTTTTCCAGTTAAATGCAATGAGCTGTAATAAAATGTAACAAAATTACTAAAAGCAGAGAAGCAGAGCTGATAATTAAGAAATATAAAAGAACTTATTGCAGTATACTTACACACATTAAAATTCTGGAATATTGGATATTATGAAAACCAGAGATGATCAAAAGGGAGGTGGACACAGCCGAAGAGGCGAGGACGATGGGAGGTGAGGAGCGGGTAGTAGTGTCACCAAGCACCTGTCATTCGGAAAAATAGCAACATCGATAGTTTCGGAAAATTGGAACCGTAACGCGAGACCAGGCGACCAGGCTTGGGGGCGGAATCTGTTTAGCTCGGGCTCGGCCTCGGCCATCATGGAACTTCTCGGGACACGCCCCGTCGCCCAAGTGTGTACGGATAGCGAGAGGAAACCCTTTCCTCCCCAGCAGGCGCCTCGGGGAGAGGGCGCGGAAAAGGGGGGGGGGGCTCAATTCCTCTATTTTATTTGCAAAGCGGTGAATCGGCGAATCCAATAAGGGACTTTGGACTCAGTGGGACGAGTGTGTAAATGCATTCCCCCCGCCCTCCCCCCTCCGCTGAGGGTGCTACACACCTAGACCGCGGGGCCGCCGCTGCTGCTGCTACTTCTGCTGATGTTGCTGCTGCTGGTGGTGGCGGCGAGGACACGGTGGAGACTCCCCCCCGCAGCCTGGTGAAGCCGTTGTACCTGAACAACCAAATCCTCTCACGCTAACAAGTCAGCCCCTCCACCGCCACTGACGACGCTGCCCCTGTGTTGAAGGGCGCCCCAGCCCCAGCCGGCTCCCGGTGGCGTCGAGCACAGACCCGCCCCTCCTAGCCTAGGCCCCCGCGTTACTATACGGCCCAGGAATACGCTTTCGGACCGTGTCCTATAACACCTCCCCTCCCCTCCCCCGCCAACGCCCTCCGCCCCAGCCGCGCCTGGCTCAGCACAAAGGAACCTTGTAAAAGCATTCTGAAGGCTATCTGAATAATAGAGAATAAGGCCCTTACGTTCCAGAACGCTGGGGCTCGCTGCAGCCCCCCGGCCTCCGCGTCCGCGTCCCCTGGCCAAGGGGGGGGGGGGGCACCAGCTTCTTAACGCTCCACGATTGTCGCATGAATGAACCGAGATCGCGGGCTGAGTTCGTCACGTGGCGGGGCGGGGCGGTGCGACGAACAAGTCGCTGGAACACCGTGCTCGACCTCCACCCGCCCCAATCACACTTCCGGCGCGCCGGAGTAGCGAAACAACCCCTCCGCCGTATGAGGTGCGGGAGGGGAGGCGGGGGTGGTGGAGAGGGGGCTGATCGAACGCCACCATTAGCACTATTTATCGGCACTTTGGTTGTTTGTGGCCGCGGAGTTTTGTTCCACGCCGACCGACGGTTTGGGGGAGACCCCCCGCGCACCAATTCAGCGCCGGGCGCCCGGCAGGGAGCAGACCTGCGGAGCTCCGCCCCTCTCTCCCTCAACCCCACTCCGTAGCCGTAGTAGTGGAGGGCATGGCGCCCGGCGCCCTCCAGGCATCCTCTGCTTCCATCCCCCGGGCGACTGGCGGGTGGCGGGTCGGGGGGGCGGGACGGAGCAGGAGAGGGGAA